CACTGTCATCTCTAAGCAGGGCTGAGAGAGACCCCTGTCTGCAACCCCAGAGAGTCGCTGAAAAATACTGAGCTCCACGGACTAGTGGCCTGAGCTGATATCAAGCAGTTTCCAATTTGTAGGCAAAATAACAGTGGCATCCATTCCTTCCCCTGCTTTCTCACCCACTCTTGAAACCTTCACTCCAGCAACCACGTCACAGCTTGATCTAAACCCAAAAGGGCAGGATGTCATGCTTTTGTGTGAGATGTTTCCTTTCCTCCCCTAAGGGCCAATCCTTTCATGAGAAATCCTGAGAAATGGAGGCAGCCGGTATAAATATACCTCCTACAGTTTGCCTCAAGAGTAGGCCGATGGGAGCTGCAGAATTTGACTCCCACAGGCCCTGAGCCAATGACAGCCTTTGGGCGACACCTAGCCAGGAGGAACTGCAGATGCTTCTGGGGGCTGGACAGGGACTCAATATGATCTCGATAAGCCAAGGGACTGGGCTGCAAATGGCAGGAGGGAAGCTGGCAGAAGCAAATGAAATGTGACAGGTAGGGAGGAGGGAGAAAAATGGGGAGGGACACCAATTGCGCATGTGCAGAGTGGAGAAGCAACAGCAGTGCTGGAAAGGATCAGAAAGGAGAGACGGTGAGGTTTATAGTTGGGGAGGGGGCTGGAATAGTGTGCCAGCCCCATACACCATCCATTGCAGAGTTGGGTAAAGGTAAAGAGGCCCCTGACCATTAGGGCCAGTCATGACCGACTCTGGGGTTGCGGCGCTCATCTCGCTTTACTGGCCAAGGGAGCCGGCATACAGTCATGTGGCCAGCATGACTAAGCATGGCGAACCAGAGCAGTGCACGGAAACGCCGTTTACCTTCCCACCAGAGTGGTACCTATTTATCTACTTGCACTTTGACGTGCTTTTGAACTGCTAGGTTGGCAGGAGCAGGGACTGAGCAATGGGGAGCTCACCCCGTTGCGGGGATTTGAACCGCCGACCTTCTGATCGGTAAGTCCTAGGCTCTGTAGTTTAACCCACAGCGCCACCCGCATCTTTTAGACGATGGCATTTACTCCCAAGAGAGGTGGTGATGGTTATGGACATAGCCAGGATTTGGAGGGGAGGCAGGACTTGTGTTAGGGGGAACGGAACCGACGTGATTGGTCAGTTAGTTAAGTATTTCTATTGTTTTACTTGATCTGGCGGGGGCAACTGCCCCCCACCTGGCTACGCCCATGGTGATGGGCACTAACTTGGATGGCTTCAAAAGGCAAATCCATAGCTATCCGAAGACAACTAACCAGGATGCCAATGTTCTACCTCCACTGTCGGAGGCAGCATGTTTTGCCCATGAAGGACCAGGTGCACAGCCTAGGAGTCATTTTGGACTCAAAGCTGTCCATGGTGGAGCAGGTTAAGGATGCATCCAGGGTGTCCTGCATCATGGCTTCTGTGCCAGCCTTTCCTCTGATCTCGGCATCCATCTGGCACCACTGAAGTCCGTCCCCCCCCCCCCCCAGCCCATGCTCTCAGCAGTCGGCTGCTCAGTATGGTTCAGGGTCAGCACAGAGACCTCCCCCATCACCTAGGTCACAGAGACACCAGCACAAATGTGAGCAGGCAGCTCAGATGTAGCCCTGCAGAATGAGCTTCCCATCACTTGCCCATTTGCCACGTGGAAGTTGTGCCTGCCCCATTCCCATATAACAGGATCCAAGGGGCCGTGTTGCTTGCTGGATCAACAACTGAGCTCACTTAGGCATGCAGAGCACCTGTTGAGCATTTGGAACTTCCTTTGCCTATTTATCATACTCATCTGAACATCAATGTTTCTGGCACAAAACTGTGCTCCAGCATCTGGAGGGCCCACAGGTTCCCTATCCATCTAATTGAGTAATTAACATATAATAGATTTCCAACTATTGCTGGACTCAGTGGCATAGCACGGGTTGCCAGTGCCCGGGGCTGTGCAGAGATGGGAGGGAAATGGGAGGGAGGGAAATGGACTGAGTACGCATGTGCGTTCAACTGCCCAATGGCAACCACGTCACCCGGGAGCTCACAACTGTAGAAATTAAAAAAAGAAGAGTCATTCCATTGCCTAGAGAGGTCACTTCCTGGTTCACATGGAGAAGTCATTTGCAATGGAGATGGAAGTGCATGGCTGTATTGAGGCAGCATCAGGTGTTGAAATTTTGTGCCCCTAACAGTTTTGTGCCCAAGGCAACTGCCCCTGTGCCGCTGCGCCCCCCCCTTGCCACTCTCTGGACTCTCATCTTCCCCAGTGAACACAGTCTAACACCCCCGCCATGTGCTGCTCACAAAGCAGAAACAGTAGCTAGCATTAAACACCACCAGAATACCCATTTATTTAAGTAGGCATTCCCGGGCTCATAAGATTCATCACAGTGTTCTTTTTATAAAAAACATTTATTGATATTTATCTGAATGTTTTGTGGATGGCTTCTCTGTTTCTACTGACATACTTTTGGTTTCAAATGTTGTATAACATTGTGTTTTAATTTGTTGGAAGCTGCCCTGAGTGCCTAGGGGAACCCAGTCAGATGGGGGGCATATAAATAATACATTATTATTATTATTATATACATTTTCCTTTAAAAAAAATATTTTTTTTTGCTGCATTTTAGGTAAACTGCCTTCCCAGCCCTTTGGATTAGCGTGTGTGTGTGTATTAAAGTGCCCTAGACATTTAATTCCTTACAGATTCCCCTCTTGTTTTCTGTACTCATTAAAGCAGACAATTGGGCGCCCTTGTATACTTCAGGAGAGAAGGCTTCGATAACCTGGCCAGTTGATTTACGGCCACCGAGGCCGACGTGATCACCTAATGAGAGGAACCTGGAGTGTCAACCTGTTTATTAAATACTCCAAACCATCTGTAGTCCCAGCCAAGGTAGTCATATTTCTCCTCCTTTTTACCGGGGCCCCGCTCTCCCCACACCCCACCCCTTTCACTAGACGTGGCCCCCTCTTTTCATCTTTTCATTTTATTTTAAAGAAAGGTAGGGGTTTAGGATGGGTCACTAGCAGAGACTGTCGGGGGCACCTGGAATGTTTGTGATATCCTACTGATTTCTTAGGTGTTTAGAAGTTAATAATACTCAACACCTCATGATTCTTCCCTAGATGTCAAACAAGGACATGAAAAAAGGATTGGGGAAACCCAGAGAGAGGCAGAGTGGGCTGTTGGAGGAACCACCCCTTATCCAACCCCTCCACCCCCCCTTGTCTTGGGTAAAAGCCTTGGCTGTCCCTAAGTAAATGTGGCAGCCGAGGATGGATTTGCAGAGGAGATTAATTTTAAGCAGCACACCAAATCCTGTTCAGCTGGTTTAGGTGAGTTAGATTCGTCATTTATCTTCATACATTCCCCGCCATCACACACACGCACAAAAAAAGATTAAACAAGAAATGCACCCCAGTCATATCACGATAGCCGCACGAACCTCCTCCCTTAAACTCCCCCATGGCAAGTTTAATTTTAAAGCCTTTGAGGTTTGCAAACTGTTTGCTTGCTTCTCTAAATCATTCCTAAATTGGGCCCTATGGAGCCTGTTTGATCACTAAGGGCAAGCAGCAGAAAGGTCCAGGGAGTGGGCCCTCTCATCAAGCAGCTGATCGTGATTTAATCTGATATGAAGTGTAATTTCTGAAGACAGAGGACTTGTGTTCTGTGATGGTAACCAAGATGTGTGGAGGTTTTTCATATTAAGCAGCTCGATTTCCCCGAGATTTTTAAAAAAGAATTGGTCAGCTATCGCAAAGCCAAAAAGCACCAAAGGGCTCTTCACTGAACAGTCGAAGCTGCCTGTGGTCCATCTAATTCAGTGCTGTCTACACAGACCGGCAGTGACAGATGGCGTTAGTGGAGGAATCCTGTGGCAGTGAATTCTACCAGCTAATCACTAAAGCCATTTGCCTTTTCTTTTCTGAACCTATTTCCAATCGACTTCATCAGGTGACCCCCACCTAGGTTTATGAAAAGGAGAGAAAGATTATGAAACACCATTCATGAGTTTATAACCTTCTCTCCCTCCCTCCCTCTCTCAGCAGCAAAGTCAGTGAAAATTGATATTTGTGTGAATCCCTGGGAAATGCTGTAGATATTTAAAAACTGAGAGACATGTCAGGCAGCGCTGCCACAAAGCTAAAATGAGATTCCAGATGGACACCAATCTGTGTCTGTTGAAACAACAAAGAACACAATGAGATTCTTCTGGCACCTTTGAGACCAAGAGATTCACTGTGGAACAAATTCATGCTCACATGTTGAATAGTAAGGATAGGTTTAGTTTATTGATATTCGCGTGTCGCTTCCCACAACGAAAAATCCTGGCAGCAGTTTACAGTAAGGACAAAACGCAATCAAAACAGATTAACAGGACATACCCTCCAACATTTCTCCAATGAAAATGGGGACATCTTATTCAATAATAATAATAATAACAATAATAATAATTATACCCTGCCCATCTGACTGGGTTGCCCCAGCCACTCTGGGTGGCTTACAATATATATAAAAACATAATAAAACATTAAACATTAAAACACGTACCTATACAGTCCTTCCTTCAGGTGTCTTCTAAAGGTTGTATAGTTACTTACAATATCTCTTTGGCTCAGGGGTCACATAACTCCACACCCTCCAACATTTCTCTGACGAAAATAGGGACGTCCTAAGGAAAAGTGGGACATTACAGAATCAAAACAGAAACCTGGATGACTTCTGTAAATCCAGGACTGTCCCTGGAAAATAGGGGCGCTTGGAGGGTCTGCAAGATGACAGCATGAATTACATCCTTTATAGTCTGGGCTTCTACCCTCAGAACACACCATCTTGATGTACTGTGATTTACTTTGCATTGTTCAACTATGTTTCTTTTTGGGAAATCAATTAAAAAACCTACTGATAATTAGTTCAGTATTGTCTACACTGACTGGCAGCTGCTCACCAGGGTTTCAGGCAGTAGCTTTCCCCAGCCCTACGTGAAGAAACTGGGGCTTAATCCTAGGACTTTCTGCAAATCTGCAGATCAGATGCTCTACCACTGAGCTATGACCCTTCCTCAAAAAAAAAAAGAAAAAAGGGTAAGATTCTAGTCCTCAAGATTCTGCATAAATGACTGGTTTAAATAGGAAGTCCACCTAGCTCAGTCCTGCCTGCGTTCAGTGCCAGAGGTTCTCTGGGGTTTCAGGCAAGAAATCTCTCCCAGCGTTACCTGGAGATGCCTGGGTGCTGAATCTGGGACCTTCTGCATGCAAAGCAGGTGTACTGCTACTGACCCATGCCCCTTCCTGAAAGCCTCTAGCTAGCCACTCTTGGCTACAGCCTGCTTCTGTTCTCTTGCCTATTGTCATAATATTTCTGAGGATTATTCGGCAGCCTATTCCACAGGATTCAGGTGAATATAAAAATAAGAGAAAGCCATATTGTGGCCTGTTGTGAGCTCTGGGGCTCAGCTGAAGAAAATAAACTGGAGTGGGGGGAAAACATATTCTTCCAAACAGTTTCTCAGCTTGAGTTTGAGTTTTACATCTGCATAATAGCACCGAGACCGACCTGTTTTGCATTCTGTTTCCCGGCCCGGGGGAAGCACGCAGCCACACGCGCACAGGTTGTGTATCGATCGTCAAGTAAATGCAGCATGTATTTTGATATATCCTCTAAATCGCCCCGTTCTGGCTAAGCAACCCTGCTGGGCAATTACACCCCCTAAGCACTCTGACGTCTGTCCCCGGAGCTGCTTAAATTTAGCCAGGTTCTTAGGCGCTGTTTTCTAAGCCCCAGTCAATATTGATTAAGCTGCCCCGCAAGGAAGGGGGGAGAGAGAGAGAGAAATGTCTGTGCCACTGTGTTTCTTCCCTTGGCTATGCTCATCATCTCCCTCCTTCGGAAACGTGGGCTCCCTCAATCCAAATGTGAGAGTGTGGCTAGTTGCCTCCACCACCGAAAGCTAAATAACTATGAGGCAAGCTGTGCATCTCATCGGAAATATGCAGAATGGCAAATTGCATCCTCAAGGCTGTAGTTCCCTTAGAATGTGCATTTATTAAACGGATACACGCATACACACCCCATCTGATTTTTTGTCTTTTCTCTGCAGGATTGTCAGGGCCGCATTGTCTGGCAAATGTCTCAGGCAGGTAACAGCTGGGAACCAGAAGCAGTTGCTCGCTTTTCTTTTATTGCGTTGTGGAAGGAAAAGCTTCCCAGATCCAAGACGAGAGGATGTTTTGGAACTCATCTAAAGAAGTCCATTAAGAGCAATGCGCTTTGACCTTGGGTCTCCAGCTGTTATTGGACTACAACTCCCATCCGCCTCCACCAATTGATGAAGCTGCCTGGGGAGGATAGGAGTTGGAGTCCAGCACTCTCTGGCCACTAGTGGTTGAAGAACACTGCCTTAGAGGAGGGAAAGAGGGAGTAAATTGGATTCAGTTTGCATTTAAAGGCAATGACCGCTCTCCACATCAAATGGAGGGCACCCTTTGCATGCCCGTGCGCAGCACCCCCAATCCTACGTGACTCCTGGCAGAGGACTCCTGGACCACCACCACCCCAAGTCACAAACCTTGAGGTTCCCACCAAACCTCAGTTCTAAGAGCCAATCGCGACTGAGGAGGCATTGCCAGGGGAGCGGACCAAGTAAGGGTTGGCTTTGCTCTTTAAGCATAATAGGGAGTGGAGCTACCTGGGAGCTCTCAGTCAGCTCCAGAGCTTCACCCTCCCTACCCTTCCTTCGTCTAGGCCTTTTATTGCAGGTTAACGTCTTATTTAGGATGCAGGTGGTAGTGTGGGTTAAACCACAGGGCCTAGGACTTGCCGATCAGAAGGTCGGCGGTTCGAATCCCCGCGACGGGGTGAGCTCACATTGCTCAGTCCCTGCTCCTGCCAACCTAGCAGTTCGAAGGCACGTCAAAGTGCAAATAGATAAATAGGTACCCCTCTGGCAGGAAGGTAAACGGTGTTTCCGTGCGCTGCTCTGGTTCACCAGAAGCAGCTTAGTCATGCTGGCCAAATGACCCAGAAGCTGTACACCGGCTCCCTCGGCCAATAAAGCGAGATGAGCGCCTCAACCCCAGAGTTGGTCACGACTGGACCTAATGGTCAGGGGTCCCTTTACCTTTAACTTCTTCTTTATAGGTATGTGGGCACTGCTGCGGTCTTACTATGGGTGCTGTTAAAGGACCGGGAAGGAATTTCCCTGCTTTGGCAGGTTTTTCCTTCTCGCAACTTTGGCAGTTATAGGCCTTGGGCAGAATCCTTTAGTCTATCTTCTCTAAATGGGGGTGGGGGGCTGAAGCAGTGACACACGCCCCGCTCCCTGTGGCGGCGATCCCAGGGTTCCCCGTTAAAGGGGTTGTGTTGAGGGGAGTCACCGGCCATACGCTGAAAGGTTGTGAGTGCACTCCCCTGTGTTGCGGTGAAATGGGGGGCAGGCTTTCTGCTTAAACATACGGCTTCCAGAGCCAGCCCAATCCCCAAACAGACTGGATAACACTGATTTGCCCCAGATCCCCAGCTGGGAACTGGGAGAGATACACGCCCAATGCCTAAGCCAAGGTCTTCCTACATCTGAAAGTTTAATAAAGTTGTGGCCAATTTTAATCCCATAAAACGTTGTCATGGGTCATTATTCCACCCGGGTGTCACCTGGGGTCGGGGGGGGGGTCTCCGCCAGGGCATGCAATGAACCCACACTTTATAAAACAATGCATGAATTAAACACAGCTGTTCTTTGAAATTCACACTTCTCTGAATTTTGCAGAGTAGTTTTCATAAGGGCAGAAGAGCTCTGTTAGATAAGGTCAATGTCCACCATCCTGTTCTCAGCAGTGGCCAATCAGGTCCCTCTTTGGGGAAATTGGCAAGCAAGGCCTGAGCACAAAAGCCGTCTCTCTCCCCATGGTTTCCAGCAACTGGTATTCAGAAGCATTGCTTCCTCTGACTGCGAAGGCACCATGGCTAGGATCCAGCTAAGTCATGCGTACAAAAGAAGTGTGCCTAGAAATGCATATATCAGTGAAAGCAGCATACAAAGAGACAGTGTACATGGGGAAACTGCTTGGCAACAATTGTGTATGTTAGGCACAATTGCATCCCAAAAAAAGAACACTACACGAAATTCTCACTAACGTGCCCATCAATTTTCCTAATGACTTAAAAAAAAAGAAAAATGAAACTGATGTGGAAGGTAAACAGTGTTTCCGTGCGCTGCTCTGTTTCGCCAGAAGTGGCTTAGTCATGCTGGCCACATGACCCGGAAGCTGTATGCCGGCTCCCTCGGCCAATAAAGCGAGATGAGCGCCGCAACCCCAGAGTCGGCCACGACTGGACCTAACAGTCAGGGGTACCTTTATCTTCACCTTTAACCAGCTAATCTATAGATGTCACCAATTCTCATTTTCCTTTTGCATCATCAGCTTATTTTCCCCAAGCTTTTGGAAACAGTGTTGCAGTTGACTATTCTTATTTCTGCACTATTGCTCCTCTATCATTTTTTTTAAGACCCACATGGATTTGACTCCCCATCCCTCTTACGTTTTGATCATGATTTTTTGTTTCCAATGGTGGTGGTAGAAGCAGTGGGGCAGCTGAAATGCCACCTCTTGCCACTTCTGCTGCCTGAGGCGAGTGCTTCACTGTGCCACACGGGCAGGCCGGCACTGGGCGCCACGTAACACCCATTGCACATTTGTAAGAACTTGATCGTTTAATGCGGCAGCTCATACACTTTGGAACTCCCTGCCTATTGATATCAAGCAGGTGCCTTCACTGTATTCCTTTTGGCGGCTGCTAAAAACGTCCTTGTTTAGGCAAGCCTCTCCCGTCACTTAGAAAGTTGGTGTGGATTTTAATCTGTTTTAGTATTTCATCTTTTTTTGTACAGTATGTTTTAAAGCTGTAATTTTTCTTGTTTCATCTTTGTGTAAACTGCTTTAAGGGTTGCTTTTTGTAAAAAAAAAAGTGACTTTTATAAAATAAATAAATGAAACAAAACAAATCCCTTTTGTTTGCTTGCTTTTCCTTCAAGGATCATTTGTCAACACAATTGGCATGTAGCGCTCAAGACTTGTATCAGGCAGGAAAAGAGTAGTCGATGCAAGGAATCATTTTACTACTTTCCAGAGCTCCGAAAGGGATGAAGAAAGTCACCCCACGCCTGTCTTTGGACATTCACAGCTTTTTCAAGTTATGTCAGATCACTATGGATCAAAGAACCAGCAGACAATCAGCCTTCGCGCTCTCTTCTGTCCATAATACTTCAGGATTTGGGTGTGCGTAACCAACGGCAAGGATGGATTTTTGATGGATTCATCCTTACGTTTTGCTCCTACCAAAGAAGAGCCTGGGGTGAAAAGTAGCCTTGTGTTCACAACACCTCCTTCTGTTTCTTGGACTTCTGCTGTGACGAATTACTGTATTTACTCAAATCTAATGCTCACCGTTTTTGGCCGGACGATGTTGCGAAAATTAAGGTCCGCATTAGATCCGATGGCACATTTACATTCACCAGTGAATCTGCTGGATGAAATAGCGGAAGAACATTGCCTCAGGAGAGTGAGGAAAATTCTCAGGGATGATTCACACCCTGGCCGGCACTTTCTTGATCTCCTGCCCTCAGGTAGAAGATACAGAAGCATGATTAGTCGCACCAACAGGGTAAAGAACAGCTTCTATTCATGGGCTGTTAGACTGCTGAATAAAAAGATAACAACAGGGCAACTGACTTTCGAGTTTGGTGGGTGTGCGTCAGTAAATGAGGGGAATTAAGACTAAGAGAGCTGAGTGGGGGGTGCTCGTGTAATCTCACTGCATACAAGTTGTACAAGTGACAATAAAGTATTTCAGTTTCAATATGTGTTTTGGTTTCAAGGTTCTGAAAACTGAGGTATGCATTCAATTCGATGGCGCATTAGACTCGAGTTAATACAGTGATTTCTAGGGCTGTGCGCCGGATTCGGCTGAGGCTTGAGCCAAATTCGGCATATTTGGAGCACCTCAAATGAATCGGGTGTGCACAGCCACAGATTGCCATGAGTCCTATGGGATGGGTCAAGAACAAT